CTTTTTAAAAGGTCATAGAGTGATGCAGGGGGTGTTCTGAATGGATTGGGAGGAGCCAGCCTTCCGTGGTGTGATGAGTCAAAGCGCAGTATTTTCAAATCATACGATTCGTAATAATCACGTGTGATGAGGAGAGTATAACTTTCAACAGATTATGTTTTATTCAAATTACTAGCCATCTCCTGCCACACATTGCTGTGGCCCACATGGGGGTTCTGTGTGGGAGGTTTGGCCCAATTCTATCGGTGGGGTTCAGAATGCTCTGTGATTGTAGGTGAACTATAAATCCCAGCAACTACAACTCCCAAAGGACAAAATCATTTTTTTTGAGGGAAGGACATACATTGGGTTGTTAGGTGTCTTGTGTCCAAATTTGGTGTCAATTCGTCCAGTGGTTTTTGAGTTCTGTGAATACCACAAACGAACATTACATTTTTATTTATATAGATAGTTGTTATGTTTAAGATGTCTTGTATTTGAGGTTATTCTGGGTTATTATATTTGTACTTAGTATCACTGAGGCACTGAATGTTTGCCTTTTTGTTTGGAATCCGCCCTGAATCCCCCAGGAGAGGTAGGGCGAAATATAAATGAAACACTTATTATTATTATTATTATTATTATTATTATTATTATTATTATTATTATTATGTATCCCATCTCAATACAGTATGCATCCAGTCCTTAAAAAATGTGATAAGGTCCTTGGATAGCATCACAGTACACTTTCCTGGGCCAAAAGAACACCACACCCAAAGACTCCAGGGCAAGGATGCTACAGCTAGCAAGGCCTCCCCTGGCTGTCTATTGCTTGGAATCCCTCCATTAGTGCGTAAGCTAAGAAGGAATGGTGGTAAGATGGGAGACTGCCAACAAACCCCAGATGCTGAAGACCAGAGCTGTAGGTATGAGGCCCACTCAGGACCTCATACCTACATACCATATATATATATATATATTCACACGACAGCAATACGTGTGGAAGAGATCTTGGAGTCCTCGTGGACAACAAGTTAAACATGAGCCAACAATGTCATGTGGTAGCTAAAAAAGCCAATGGGATTTTGGCCTGCATCAATAGGAGTCTAGTGTCTAGATCCAGGGAAGTCATGCTCCCCATGCTCTATTCCGCCTTGGTTAGACCACACCTGGAATATTGTGTCCAATTCTGGGCACCACAATTGAAGGGAGATGTTGACAAGCTGGAATGTGTCCAGAGGAGGGAGACTCAAATGATCTGGCGAACAAGCCCTATGAGGAACGGAGAGGAGACATGATGAGGGCCATGTATAAATATTTGAGGGGAAGTCATAGGGAGGAGGGAGCAAGCTTGTTTTCTGCTGCCCTGGAGACTAAGATGCGGAACAAAGGGTTCTAACTACAGAAAAGAAAGGAGATTCCACCTGAACATGGGGAAGAACTTCCCAACGGTGAGAGCTGTTCAACAGTGGAACTCTCTACCCCAAAGTGTGGGGGGGCTCCTTCGTTGGAGGCTTTTAAACAGAGGCTGGGTGGCCATCTGTCAGGGGTGCTTTGAATGTGATTTTCCTGCTTCTTGGCAGGAGGTTGGACTGGATGGCTCACGAAGTCTCTTCCAATTCTTATGATTCTATATAAAATATGTATAAGGTAAAGTTTTAGGTAAAGCTGGGTTTTTGTAGGTTTTTCGAGCTATATGGCCATGTTCTGGAAGCATTCTCTCCTGACGTTTCGCCTGCATATATGGCAGGCATCCTCAGAGATTGTGAGGTCTGGGTTTCGGTAAAGGTTTCCCCCAACATTAATTTCAGTCGTGTCCAACTCTGGGGGTTGGTGCTCATCTCCATTTCTAAGCTGAAGAGCTGGCACTGTCTGTAGACACCTCCATGGTCATGTGGCCAGCATGACTGAATGGCGTGCTTTTACCTTCCCATTACTGGAGTGGTAGAATCATAGAGTTGGAAGAGATCTCATGGGCCATCCAGTCCAACCCCATTCTGCCAAGAAGCCATAAAATGGCATTTAAATCACCCCGACAGATGGCCATCAGCCTCTGTTTCAAAGCCTCCAAAGAAGGAGCCTCCACCGCACTCTGGGGCAGAGAGGCACCTATTGATCTACTCACATTAACATGTTTTCGAACTGCTAAGTTGGCAGGAGCTGGGGATAACAGTGGGAGCTCACACCACTCCCTGGATTCAAAATGGTGACCTTTCAGTCAGCAAGTTCAACAGCTCAGTGGTTTAGTCAACTGTGCAACTGGGGTCTCCTAAAATGTCTATTTTTTTAAAAAAAACATTAAAAATTAGCATTTGCTAGGCAGATTTTATGAAGTGCAGCTGAAGCATCCTCCACTGTGTTGGGACCCTGTGTTGGAATCCACAGCACCACCCGGGGGCTCCTAAAATATGTATAATTTTTTAAAGGATCAAAATGAGCATTTGCTAGGCAGATTTTATGAAGTACAGTTGAAGCATCCTCCACTGTGTTGGGACCCTGAAGGTTACATTTCAGAGTAGTTACCAGGCATGGACCAACTTTTGGTCAGTAAGTTCAAAATCCACTGCACCACAAGGGACTCCTAAAATAAGTGTGTGATATATGTATGTGTGTGTGTATATATTTTAAAAAGGATGAAAAGTTAGCATTTGCTAGGCGGATTTTATGAAGTACAGCTGAAGCATCCGCCACTGTGTTGGGACCCTGAAGGTTATATTTCAGAATGGTTACCAGACATGGGAAAACTTGGGCCCTCTGGGGGTTTTGAACTTCAACTCGCACCATTCCTCCCAGCCTCAGCGGCTGAGGGGGGAAAGGATGGGGCCTGAGGCTGTGAGGAATGGTGGGAGCTGAAGCCCAAAACTCCTGGAGGGCCCAAGTTGGCCCATGCATGAGCTCTCTCAACCTACTAATTTACAAATGGTTTCTGATTGGCCAGTCTCAACATTCTAACATTCTTAAGCGGCTGAGGCAAAAAAGGAAAGAACTGAGGCTTAGGAATGATGGGAGCTTAAGTCCAAAACTTCTGGAGGGCCCAAGTTGGTCCATGCATGCGCTCTCTCGACCTACTAATTACAGATATGGCTTCTGATTGGCCAGTCTCAACATTCTAACATTTTTAAGCGGCTGAGGCGGAAAAGGGAAGGAACTGAGGTTTAGGAATGATGGGAGAGGAAGTCCCATGGCCCAAGTTGGCCCATGCGTGAGCTATCTCGACCTACTAATTTGCATATGGCTTCTGATTAGCCAGTCTCAACATTCTAACATTCCTAAGTGGCTGAGGCAGAAAAGGAAGGTGATATATGTATGTGTGTGTGTATATATTTTAAAAAGGATGAAAAATTAGCATTTGCTAGGCGGATTTTATGAAGTACAGCTGAAGCATCCTCCACTGTGTTGGGACCCTGAAGGTTACATTTCAGAGTGGTTACCAGACATGGGAAAACTTGGGCCCTCTGGGGGTTTTGGGCTTCAGCTCCCACCATTCCTCACAGGCTCAGGCCCTTTCCTTTTCCCCCTCAGCCACTTAAGCGGCTGAGGGCGGAAAAGGAAGGGGCCTGAGGCTGTGAGGAATGGTGGGAGCTGAAGTCCAAAACTCCTGGAGGGCCCAAGTTGGCCCATGCACGAGCTCTCTCGACCTACTAATTTGCATATGGCTTCTGATTGGCCACCCTCAACATTCTAACATTCTTAAGCGGCTGAGGCGCAAAAGGAAAGGAACTGAGGCTTAGGAATGATGGGAGCTGAAGTCTAAAAGTCCTGGAGGGCCCAAGTTGGCCCATGCATGAGCTCTCCCAACCTGAGGCAGAAAAGGAAAGGAACTGAGGCTTAGGAATGATGAGAGCTGAAGTCTAAAACTCCTGGAGGGCCCAAGTTGGCCCATGCATGAGCTCTCCCGACCTGAGGCAGAAAAGGAAAGGAACTCAGGCTTAGGAATGATGAGAGCTGAAGTCCAAAACTCCTGGAGGGCCCAAGTTGGCCCATGCATGAGCTATTTCGACCTACTAATTTGCATAAGGCTTCTGATTGGCCAGCCTCAACATTCTAACATTCTTAAGCGGCTGAGGCGCAAAAGGAAAGGAACTGAGGCTTAGGAATGATGGGAGCTGAAGTCTAAAAGTCCTGGAGGGCCCAAGTTGGCCCATGCATGAGCTCTCCCAACCTGAGGCAGAAAAGGAAAGGAACTGAGGCTTAGGAATGGTGGGAGCTGAAGTCCAAAACTCCTGGAGGGCCCAAGTTGGCCCATGCATGAGCTCTCTTGACCTGAGGCAGAAAAGGAAAGGAACTGAGGCTTAGGAATGGTGGGAGCTGAAGTCCAAAACTCCTGGAGGGCCCAAGTTGGCCCATGCATGAGCTCTCTTGACCTGAGGCAGAAAAGGAAAGGAACTGAGGCTTAGGAATGGTGGGAGCTGAAGTCCAAAACTCCTGGAGGGCCCAAGTTGGCCCATGCATGAGCTCTCTTGACCTGAGGCAGAAAAGGAAAGGAACTGAGGCTTAGGAATGGTGGGAGCTGAAATCCAAAACTCCTGGAGGGCCCAAGTTGGCCCATGCATGAGCTATTTCAACCTATTAATTTGCATAAGGCTTCGAATTGGCCAGTCTCAACATTCTAACATTCTTAAGCGGCTGAGGCGCAAAAGGAAAGTAACTGAGGCTTAGGAATGATGAGAGCTGAAGTCCAAAACTGCTGGAGGGCCCAAGTTGGCCCATGCATGAGCTATCTCAACCTATTAATTTGCATAAGGCTTCTAATTGGCCAGTCTCAACATTCTAACATTCTTAAGCAGCTGAGGCAAAAAAGGAAAGGAACTGAGGCTTAGGAATGGTGGGAGCTGAAGTCCAAAACTCCTGGAGGGCCCAAGTTGGCCCATGCATGAGCTCTCTCAACCTATTAATTTGCATATGGCTTCTGATTGGCCAGCCTCAACATTCTAACATTCTCAAGCAGCTGAGGCAGAAAAGGAAAGGAACTGAGGTTTTTAGGAATGAAGTTGGCGCATGAGGTGATGCTGGGGACTTACTTCCTCTGGAGAGTGGTGGCGGGGCTGGTGCTGGCGCTGGTGCTGTGCCCTCCTCCGGCTCCCGGGCTGGAGCTCCGCGAGGCCCCGCGGCTGAGCTGTCCCCTCTCTCTCTCCCTTTCCCGGGGCGGGCGCGGGTATTCGTGCGAAGCAGACGAAGCCGAAGTCGGCGGCTGTTGCGGGAGCTGCGATTGCGGCGGTTGGGGCGGCGGCGTCTCCTTCTGCGGGCCCCGGTCGCGGTGCAGCTGGCAGGGCTCACGGTAGTGCCCGTCGCGGTTGGCATAGTGCGGGAAAGGGCCCTGGAAGTGGTTGTCGCGCTCTTTGTGGTGGTGGTGGTGCTGCGGAGGGTAAGCGGCGGCCACGGAGGAGGAGGAGACAGCAGTGGCGTCCCCGGCTGCTGCTGCTCCTGCTGCCCGCCCGCGGTGCGCCCCTCCGCGCTGGGGGTCCCGCTTCTCGCCCTCGCGCAGGCCCCGGTTCTCGTGGCTGAGCTGCTCGAGCTGTCCCTCCAGCTCCTCGATGCGGCGCCGCTGGGTCTCGAGGAGCTTCTGCTGGCTCTCGATGATGTGGTTGAGCTCGAGGAGGTACTCCACGGCCCGGTTGGGGCTCTCCGAGGGGCCCCCCGCGCCCCCGCCGTCCATGGAGAGCGAGAGGAAGAGCGGCGCCCGGGCGCTGGGAGAAGCGCCCGGCGCCCGGCGCCTCCGGCTCCCGATGATGGCGGCGGGAGGGGGGGGCGGCACCCCGGGCGGGCTACTGGCCTCCTGCCCCGCGGGGGGGCGCCGGGCGCGAGCGCTGAGGAGGCTGCTGCTGCTGCTGAGGCTCAGGCTGCGGGTGCTGCTCTTGCATCCCGGCGCCCGCGGCGGGGAAAAAGGAGGAGGAAGAGCAGGGGCGCGCGGAGGAAGGTTATTATTATTATTAGCAGGAGGAGGAGAGTGGCTCGTGCCGACGCCGCCGCTCTTGCCTGCTCCGCCCGCCGTCGCTGCAGAGGCACTGCGCACTGAGCCTCAGCCCAGAGGGAGGGAGGAGGGCAGGGGAGGAGGAGGAGGAGGAAGTTTGGGAAGAAGGAAAGACCCCGAGAAAGACACACACACACAGAGAGAGACTCTCCTCGCCGCGCGCCTCCCTCTGGCCCCTCAGGGAGGGAAAGAGGGGAGGGGGCGTCACGTGGCAGCGCCCAAGAGAAAGCGAGGGAGAGGGGGCGCGCGCGCGTGCCTCAGGGAGGGAGAGCGAGCGCGCGCGTGCCTCAAAAGTGTGTGTATATGTGAGGGTGGGGGCGTTTTCCCGCCTTCCAGGAGCCCGCCACCTGCACTGCAAAGCGACACTCCGCTCTTTCACTCAGGAGTGCTTCCTTTCTCTTTGATTTAACTTTTTCCTTCACCCAAGCAAAGTTTGGCCCTGACTCCACATGGAACCTCTTCAGCCCTGAAAAAGAGTCATTTATATATATATATCCACAGATCTATAAACCCTAGTTCCAACAGACCTCACTATCTCTGAGGATACTTGCCATAGACGCAGGCGAAACGTCAGGAGAGAATGCCTCTAGACCATGGCCATATAGCTCGAAAAAACCTACAACAACCCAGTCATTTATTTATATATATATTTAAATAAACAGCTGCCTTGTTGGCAGGCATGTGGGGGGGGGGGCTTGAGGGGCTTCAGCCCCCCCCCCCCCGAAATTCTCATGGTGGTTCGAAAAGGCCTTACTGGTGCATTATTTAAACTGTTATGTTTATTCATATCATGATCTGATCACCATACTCAATATATCCCATATGCATGGGGGTATTGGGTAATGATACAAAAGGTTTGCTAGGGTAGACCCTCTTTCACTCAGACTCAGCCCGCCCCGAAACTCAGCCCCCACCCCCCTGAAAAAAAACTGCCCCCCCCCCCGAATCGAAATCCTGGCTACGAGCCTGTCCACAGATATATAAACCCTTTTTCCTAGTTCCAACAGACCTCACTACCTCTGAGGATGCTTGCCATAGACGCAGGAGAAAATGCCTCTAGAACATCCTCTAGAACATGGCCATATATAGGAGCCCCCGGTGGCGCAGTGGGTTAAACCCCTGTGCTGGCAGGACTGAAGACCGACAGGTCGCAGGTTCGAATCCGGGGAGAGGCGGATGAGCTCCCTCTATCAGCTCCAGTTCCTCATGTCGGGACATGAGAGAAGCCTCCCACAAGGATGATAAAACATCAAAAATCATCCGGGCGTCCCCTGGGCAACGTCCTTGCAGACGGCCAATTCTCTCACAACAGGATGCTCCTGACACGACAAAAAAAAAAACCTGCAAAAAAAAAAACTACAACAACCCAGTCATTTATTTATTTATTTATTTATTAAACAGCTGCCTTGTTGGAAAACTATTACCGGCTCCACAACAAAGACCCATTTAGTGAGCAAACGCTTCAGGCAGCACAGAGCATTGTGTCCTCCATCTCTGAAGCCAAGAAAGAAGAGTGGATAAAGCTGATAACAGAAGTCGACATGGGCAGGAGCAGCCAGAAGGCGTGGAGGCTCCAAGACGGTTGAGCAATGACCCCTCACAAACTAATACCCAGATCAGATAGCACACCAACTCTTGAAGAATGGGAAACCCAACCTTGCCACCAAAATAGGAAAGAAACCAATAGCTAGACAAACAGAGATTAAGAACAACAACCTTCATGAACCCTTTACATCTACTGAATTGGACATGGCTCTCAATAAATGTTTAAAAAATGGCAAAGCAGCTGGCTTGGATGATCTACGATGGAACAAATCAAGACCTTTGGTCCAAAAGCAAGGCGCTGGCTGCTGGAGCTGATGAACAACTGCACTGCATCGTCAGATCCCCCAAATTTGGAGGAAAGCAAGAGTTATCGCCATCTTAAAGCCAGGCAAAGACCGTAATGACCCAAAAAGCTACAGACCAATCTCCCTGTTGTGTCACCTCTACAAAGTTCTGGAGAGACTTATTTTGCATAGAATTATGGAAAAAATAGACCCATGTCTGATTCCACAGCAAGCTGGCTTCAGGAAAGGCAAAAGCTGCACATCGCAAGTGCTGAACCTGACTCCGCACATAGAAGATGGCTTTGAAAGGCAGCAGATCACAGGAGCTGTCTTCATAGACCTGTCAGCAGCCTATGATACTGTGAACCACCACCTCCTCTTGAGAAAAATGTATAATATCACAAAGGACTACCACCTCACCCGCCTCATAGGAAACCTGCTACAAGCCTGCTACAAAACAGGAGCTTTTTTCTTGAGTTCCAGGGCCAGAGAAGCAGATGGCGGAAACAGAAGAATGGCCTGCCTCATGGACCAACATAACTCATGAAAACCTTTAATTTTTGTTTTTAAATATATATAATGTAGTGCTCATTTCACATAGACTCAGAAGTTTCTCATTATGTTCACGTGACACACCTACACACTGTGTTGTTGTTTATTCGTTCAGTCGCTTCCGACTCATCGTGACCTCATGGACCAGCCCACGCCAGAGCTCCCTGTCAGCCGTTACCACCTCCAACTCCTTCAGAGTCAAGCCAGTCACTTCAAGGATGCCATCCATCCATCTTGCCCTTGGATGGCCCCTCTTCCTTTTTCCTTCCATTTTCCCCAGCATTTGCAAGGTTTGCTAAACAGGCTGGTTTTCCTTTTATGAAGTACAGCTGAAGCTCTTCTACAGGGTCCTGTGTCAACACTGCACAGTGCACCACTTCATAAAATGAGTGGTGTTCTCACACCTTTTACTGTTGGCATTTTTTTTCGTGGGCCCAACCTTGAGCTGAAAGGACCCCATTTGGTGTTTAGACTCACCGTTTAAGAAGCAGTGATTTAGTAGAAAGGGGGCATAACAAAAATACAATTTGGTAATACAAGTCATTTGTTACAGGATAACTTAAAACATTTTAACAGCCCCTTCCCCAAAAAGGAATTCAGGAAACTGAAGAATCACCCAAAATTATCTTCTTGCCTTAGTATATGCTTGTCATCTTGTGAAGGCCACACGCAGTATGTATTGTCAGTTTTTGTAGGGTTGGATTAGATGGCCCTTGTGGTCTCTTTCAACTCTATGCTTCTGTGAGTCTACTCTGTCAAATTAATGCAGTTTGGCACTACTTTAACTGCCATGGCTCAATGCTGTGGGATCATGGGAACAAAATCAGGTTTGTTTTTTCCTTTTTTAAAAAAATAATAAATTGGAGTGTTGTGTGGTTTCCGAGCTGTATGGCCTTATTCTGGCAGCATTTTCTCCTGATGTTTCACCTGCATCTGTGGCTGGCATCTTCAGATGATGCTGTGAAAGCCTTCAACAATACTATCTATCTATATCTATATATCTATCTATATCTATCTAGCTATCTATCTATCTATATATATATATATAGTGTGTGTGTGTATGTATGTATACACACACACACATATACAATGTGTATACACGCACACAGAGTATAAGTGTGTGTGTGTGTGTCACATGCTGCGGATGGTTGAATCCATTAATGCAGAATCCCTAAATGTGGAGGTCTGACTGTATATACAATTGCAGCATCCCTCACACAATTCTCCCTTGCTGGACTCGGGCCATCATATGTGAAGTCATTTTAAGTGTCCATTCACAAGGGCATATCTTGGGTTGTTGATAGCAAACCACTGGCGCTATGAAGCATGACACTAAAGGCAGATTTTGAGATTTATGATCACTATATTTTTACTGCCAGGGAAAAGCTGATTCATGTCTTTCAGCCAAGAGAAATTAGGAACAGAGAATCATCAATTTGGCAGAATTAAGATCTAGTATTCGTGCTACTGGGCTACTTGATTCTAGCACAGCGAGAAGAAACTTGTGGTCTTTCAGATATCGTAATACAGTTCTTGCCATCTTTTGACCAGGGGCACGCTGACTGAGGATGATGGGAGATGTAGTCCAAGGAAAGCCACAGGTTTTTCTTAGATGATGGACTGGATGAGGGCTAACAAGCTGAAGCTGAATCCAGACAAGACAGAGGTCCTCTTGGTCAGTTGCCAGGCTGATCGGGGTATCAGGTGACAACCTGTGCTCAACAGGGTTACACTCCCCCTGAGGACACAAGTCCACAGACTGTGGGTCCTCCTGGACTCAGAGCTGACACTTGAAGGTGTTGGAGGTAGCCAAGAGGGTCTTCGCTCAGTTAAAGCTTGTGTGCCAGCTGCAACCGTACCTCAAGAAGATGGATTTGGCCATGATGGTCCATGCCTTTGGTCACATCCAGATTGGATTAATGTAACACACTCTACGTGGGGCTGCCTTTGAAAACAGCCTGGAATCTGCAACTGGTCAAAAGGTTGGCAGCCAGGCTTCTAACTGGAGCTAATTATAGGGTGCACACAACACTCCTATTTAAGCAGCTCCACTGGCTGCTGATAAGTTTCCCCTCCCAATTAAAAGTGCAAGTTATGACCTATAAAACCCTAAACGGTCTGGTCCTGCCTGTCTCCTCCTATGAAACAGTATGTGCTCTAAGATCCGCTGAGGTCCTCTTCTTGCTCCCACCACCGTCAAAGGTACGGTTGGTTGGGGCAAGGGAGAGGGCCTTCTTGGTGGTGGCCCCCTGATTTTGGAACTCCCTCCCCAAGGAAATTAGGCAAGCCCCACACTGTCCTCCTTTTGCAGGGATTTGAAAACCTGGATGTTTCAGCTTGCATTTGAGAACAGCTAATCCCTAGTTATAAATGCCCGATCCCTAGGTCGTTTGATAATATTTAATTGTCTGCACGTCATTCAATACCCTAGCCTTATGATATGCTTTTTTGCAGTATCCCATGCCCAGACCTTTTTATAGCCTGGTCATGTCCATTGTATTACTGATTACTGGTTTTGTTGAGCATTATTTTGAGTTTCAATGCTGCTGTTTTATATTCTTATGTTTTTTTAATTGTGTTTTTATCTAAATTGTTATATTTTCCTATGCTCTTATTTTAATCGTATTTTTGCTTAATGAATTGTTTTGCTTTTATGTCTTACTAGC